TGGAAACTGTTGTCATGCGTGCAGGAATCAAAATGATAAAACTAAAAGAATTGAACACTTTCAAAGCTATAGTAATGATCAAAAATTCATGCTTCAAGAACATTACTTTAATTAAACTTTTAAAATCAAAGTTAAATAATCAAAAAAGAGCAACAGAGTCTCTTGAAAAATTTGTTATTTTAGTTACTTTTATGGCGTTTTTCATTTTATAAAAAATGCAATTGAACAAAATAATATCTTCCAAATTATCTTCCATACATAATATCTTCCATGAATTCCACACATTTTCAAAGCAAACGAATAATTTAAAATATTTCATTGTTTCATTAGAAGAATCGTCTGATCGATTGAAATTAAGAAAGTTCTACTCCTTCATTGTGATGGCATCTATTGTCCAATAAATAATTTATTCCGGGAGAAAACGAATTTTAAGGAAAAGCTCCCTTTTATCGACAAGATAAAATCGAATTAACTCGGAAATGGAATTCATTTTTCCTTCATTATTTACGCTTCTTGACTCCATTTGCGTGAATAAAGCTTCAACTACTTTCGAACAAATTTCCTTTCTCATTTAATTCACTTCCTTTTCTGATTGCTTATCAAACACTGAAATTCCTTGTTTTACGAATTTTAAAAAAAAAACTTTTAGCACTTTATAATAAGGGCTTAATATAACAGGAAACCAAATTAGTGCAAAAAAAATATTTAAATGCATCTCTCAAAAATGCATATTTAATTTTTAAATAAAAGATAAAAATGTAAGAGTGGAAAAGAGAATGAAATAAATTAATAAGTAAGAAGCACAATGCCATAAATTAGGATAAATATCGAAAACATTTATTCCGTCACTTATAAGTTTAAGTTAATTTAGCAAAGAAAATTTGACGTTTTAGTGACTCAATTTTATTACCCATTTAAAGCTTAATGTCATAGAAAATTATGGGCTTTTTTCTATGCATTAAGTAAGAAATGTATTTTTCTAGAGAAGAGCACAATAATATTTTCAACTCATTCTGAATACTGTAACACAGTGTGTTAAAACTATTTACGAATTGAAAAAAATTAAGGAATCAAAAATAATAAATGCTTTTATTTTTTTCAATTGATGGTTAAGATTAATTAAATTTTAAATTTGTAACACGTTTTTTTGAATTTACTTACTAATTAAGCGCATCAATTTACATTTAGATATGATAATTTCTTTTGAGAGAAATATGGCTACTTTAATATTTCAGCATTTTAATTTTCGATATTTAAATAAAATGCTGACTGTGGAAAATGCAAATTTTAATAATTTCCTGGCAGCTACAAGCAGAACTTATCATTATTTCACATATGAATTGAAATTATCTTAAAATTCTGATCACATCTTGATTCACTAGAGTGCTTATATTCATTTCCTCTGAAGCTTTGTTACTGGTTAAAATATCAAGTTTTAATCATCTCTTAAATGATGCAAATAAAAACGAGCTTTTGTAATATACTTCTATCAAAACCGAAGGCCAAATCAATTGTCTTTTGAAAGTGATGCAATCTATTTCAACTGTTCGAGGTCTGACAAAAAAAATCTCATTTTTATGACATTAAAAAAACGTTTTTTTTGTATTGTTTATTTCATTTATTATTCAAATATTTACTGCTTTAATCATGTATATTTTGACAATTATAATTAATTGTAAAATATGATTCTACATAATCTATACCTTTATTTTAGATATAATGTTAAGCTTTAGTACAATACATAATAATATCTGAAAATTATTGATCAAGTGCAATAAAAAGTTTCTAGATCAACTGGCATTATACGAACAACATTTTATCGAATATGTATTTCTATCATAGTAGCTCCATTTTGTAATATCTCTGGATCATCAAATAAACTTCATAATTATCATAATAATATTTTGTTATTCCCATTAACATGAGTTTATACATTATTTCCGCTCCCTTTAGCTAACGAGTCATCATTTTGAAGTTAATTTTCAATGAGTACATAAGGTAACTAAAGCGGAAACTCATCGTTTGTGCTCATTTGTCATGGCTAGTTATTCTAAACTTGCTCTATTTGCTTAATATCATAACTTTGAAGTTTTATTATGGTCTAAAGGGTCATTTGTGTTAGATTCCGTCCTAAATATGCATCAGAAGAGATATTCATTTTCAAGTACTGTACAACATTGACTAATAAAATATATATGTTAAGCCAATCTAAATATAATTAAAGTATCTACAATTAAAGTATCTATAAAAATGTTAACTTTTTTAAATATATATATACATATAATTATTATTAAAAGCATTTATTTATTGCTTAGTTTCAACTTAGAAACTGCTCTTTACAAATAAAATCGTGGCTCAGCTAGTGGTAGGATTGAATATTAAGTTTCAAAAGCACAAGAAACAGATTCGATTATGCTGCTCTAATATGAGCCATATTGCATAATAAATCAAGTCTGGTGGAAAAAAGGGGGAAATTAGAGATATCGTAAGGTTGTAGAATTTCCTAAAGTTAGAAAATTATTTGAGATAATCCATGATCGGATTTTTTACAGCAAAATATCGCATAAAAAATTTTCTTTATCATTTGTCGAAAAAATGATTTAATTTATAGTAGCTTGTATGAAAAAAGTATGTGATACTTTTTCTTTAGTTTGATAAAATTTAGATCAAAATAATTAGTTCATTAATGAAATGCAAGGAAAATTTCGATGTGTTTATATTAAAAAGGCAAATTCTTAAATTTAGTAAAGAAAACTGAAATGTATTATACGAAATGTATTTCAAAATTTAAAAGAATATCATTTGTTTATAATTTACATATTCTAAGAAAGATTATATCTTTCTTAAAGTAATTTTTATGTTTAAAATTTGTCTCACTGTTTAGAATAATTGAAATAAATTTCGCACAATGCAAATAAACATAATAAGTGCTTATGTTGGAATATTTTCTTACAGAACAATCCAATGGCATTAAAAATTTTCTTAGTTAAAAAAAGATGTGTTGTTGAAGTGTGATAGGATCTCGATTAACCATCAACCATCTCAATATCTCACTGTCTCTTTTTTATTATAATTAAATAATGCAACAAAAGCCGTAAATAAATATACATTTCTACGATTTACATAAGAGAAATTAATTTACAAAAATGATTATTGTAGTTTGAATGATATTAACTACAATAATCATTTTTGTAAATTAATTCAAAGTCAAAATATGATAAAGATTTCTTTTATTATTTGAGAGTGTAATAATAACACGCGAAAGAAAGCAAACTTTTCATTTTATGATGTGCTCTAATCTTGCAGTCTTTATTACCAAAAATTTAATATTGAAAATTATTTTTATCACAATAAACTTCAAAGAGATCAAAATATTTGGCTATGAAGGTTTTACAATAATAACAACAATATCGTAATAATGTTGAAATAAAATAATTTATCTCTGCAGTGTTGGGTTGTTTTAATCTTGAACGAGAAATCCTAACGAGCACTAATTTTAGTATTTATGAAAGCAACTTTAATCCTCAAAGCAATATTTCAAATGAAATATTTTTTTTCTGCTAAAGAAATTGAATTTATCGCAATAAATTTACCCACACTGAGAAATAAAGTACGGTTAAAACTACCAGATTGTGGTAAAATGTATAGTGTTTCTGGCTGTATGAGAACACCAAAACACCGTAATTTTTATCATTACGCTTTAGTAATCATTGTGGTAAACTTAACAATAACATGTAACTTTATACTATGTTATAAAACTTGGTAAATATGGTAGAATTTGGTTTTTTTATCGTAATACCTTTAAGCGTGGTGTAAAAACCATTTATTCAGTTAAATTTCTATTAACTTCGTACTTTTTTGTAAAATTAACAATAAAATATAGTTATATAATACTCAATAAATTTTGGTATTTGAGGCAAAATTTGGTGATTTTAACATCATTCCTGACATAGGAACCATTTATTCGGTTAAATTTACATTTCAGTTTTGTATTTTTTTACTCTATGTGTAGTAATAAGAACTACAATTTCAAAAACCGGAATTTCCGTCAAACAGTTAACATATAAACGGAAAAATTACGAAATGAGCGGTTAAAATACCATATACTATTTTGATTTCATTAGCAAAAATTGTCTTTGATTTTTTTTTTTTTTTTTACGAGAAATGTCATTACCAAACAAAACGGTAATTTTACCGCATTATATTTCCTCCGTATATGCATCGTAGTGCACTTATTCTTTTTTATATATCATAAAATATATCAAATTTAAATGCTGTTAAAAAAACTTTCACTTATATTCAAGTGATAGAAAAATACTTTAATTGTGATTTTTTAACATTTATAAGCCCTGAATTTTCCTGACTTCCGACATATAGTACTGATCATAGCAGATTTTTTGAACAAACTTTACATAATTTGTTTTGAACTACCATATCAATAATTATGTAGGAAGGAAAATGAAAGTTTAGGTTATTTTAAGAAGGCTCATTTGTTTTATATAATGCTTTTTATTTAATAATAGGTTATTTTTCTAAATATGGTCAAAATTACCAGAATATGGTAAAATTTACCGGACACACAAAAGAGCACGGTAATTTTTACTGAAGCACTTTGGTAATGATTTTGGTAAAATTAGCAACAACATATAGATTTATAACATGTGATAGACTTTGGTAAATATAGTACATATTTGTTAATTTTATTATGATTTCTTAGAGCATAGCATAAAAACCACTTATTCGATTAAATTTACTTTTCAGTTTTGTATTTTTTTTTACTAAATTTGTGGCGATAAGAACTTTAATTTTGAAAACCAGATCTTCAGTGAAACTGTTACTTTGGTTTTTACTACCAGAATTACGGTTTTTTTCCCTTACAAAAAGTGTCATTACCATACAGTATGGTAGTTTCACCTTAATTTTTCTTCCGTGAGATGAAACTTATGCTCATAACAGAGTTACATTCTTTAAATTCCTTCCAATTATCTAAAATCTCTTACCTCCTTTCTAAGGTTTATGTTTTCATGGTGTTTCTGTAGCACGTCTTGTAAATCAACGTGCAATTCTTTCCATTTATCTATTTCGCCCCAAATTCTGTGAGGGCTATTTCCAAACTTCTGCCTTAATTGCTGCAAAAGTAAAACTCATTATTTTTTCATACTGAACAATAAAAGTATTAAACTGGATTCTTAACTTAAATTCATGATTCTGAGCTAATTTGAAACGTTCAGAAGTACATTGTAAAACTTACGGTGTGTAATACTTATCCAAATTTGGTGTTGAAAATCTCAAAAAATTGAGTGAATTATTACTTTATTTCAAGTTAATACGGAATCGAGCATTCTTACACACTTCAAAAAGTGTAGTTGAATCTTAACACTAATCATTAATGAAACTTATACCAATCTGCAGATAGTTGGTAACGATGCCATTTGTGGAGCTCTGTAAATTTGACGAATAATTATATAAACTATTTAACTGAATTCTAATGTAAAATGTTGGTATGGAAAATTTTTAACATGTAATAAATTCTTTATGACCATTATTAAAAGTTAAAGGCTAATAGTTGTGCAATTTCAAGATAGTAACAATATAACGGTCAAAATTGCGGTTTGTATACATGAAGTTGGGAAGCTATGTTAGTTTTTTTTTTGTCGCATTGAATTGAAAAAATGGTCATAGCCTAATTAATACCTAATAAGTTTCGGACCTCTGTTCTAATTTATCAAACATATTGATTGTGGTCGACTATTTGGGAAGTAATTTCAATGTTCTAGTCGGATTAATTTCTCAAAAATCACTGTTAGAAAATGCATGTATGTTTTCAATTGTATATTAAAGATATTTTTGTTCTCACATGGTATGCATAAATCTGTCATATGCATAAATCTGTTCATATGGTATGCTTAACATAATTTTATGGCATTTAACTTCAATTCGCTTTGGATTTGTTCGATTTCATGCCAATACACTGTCTGTACTGCGTGTATATTTGATTAACAAACTAAGTTTACTTTAAGAATAATTGGTTATCTATCTTAAATTTATAGTTCTTGTATTTTACTGAATCGTAAAAGTAACTTTACTGATACTTATGTGTATCATATCTAACTATAATTATAAATAAAAACATTCAAGGTGTCTCACTACACCAGGAAGTATCCTTGGTTTTGGTGTAACGGAATACTCAGTGAACCACCAGTTTGGTGTAAAATAGTTGCCACTCTTTTTGGTGTTCAGATAAACGAGAACTTTTTACAGTGTATTTGCTGGGTATTAAACAACTTTTTCAAAACACGCTTTACAGCATAAATTTATACAAAAATTTTAATAAAAGATAAACCCTACGGTATACAGGATGCAAATTTTAAAAATATTTAAAAAAAATCTAATAATTTATTTTTTTTCCAGAAAATCAAGACAAATAAGTTAATAAATGAAAATATCCTGTAAGCAAATGCTGAATGAAACAAGGAAAAGATATTTTGCTACAATATGCCAGAGCAAAATAAGCGATTGCATTAAAATTTTGTAATTTGCCACTTAAAATTACATTCTTTAAAATTATGCAAAAACTTGTACACCTTACAATTCAAAAATTTTCGACTCTCATCAAATAAAATAGTAAAAAATATTATTAATTATAAGTTATCTTTTGCATGGAATTATCTTTACATAAAAGAATTTTATTACAGTAAGCAAAAATATTTCGATTCGCTCAAAAAGTGCTTGAGATATGACGCAATGATCATGAATGAGCATTAATGTGTTCTAACTTCGATCTGTCCCCTAAGTCCCTATTAGAACCATATTCCCCAGATAGCGGATACCCTGCATTTTGACGGAATCACATCCGTCAAAAAGGTATGTTAATTCAAAGAAAGAACGTTAGTGTGTCTGATTTTGTAAATTAAAATATCGTCTGCACAAATTAAATAGCACTAATATTGAGTCTTAGTCGTGAAATTGTGATCATTAGATCAAAAGTTATCCAAGGTGTTCAGTTTTCTCTTCTTTTTTATTTTTTTGCTTGCTGTACATTTATGGTCAGATTGTGGCTACCCTTCCTTCATATTTTGAGGGTGAAAAACCTCAAATATGTCGAAAGAATATATTTATTTAACTCTTTTGTGTCTGATTTAGTAACTTAAAATATCGTTTGCGCTAATTAATTGACATATTTAAAGATAAACCCACGAACCATTAAGACAGAGACTTAGTACGTGAAAATTCGATCATTAAATCCAAAGTCATTAAGGGTGTTTACTTTGTTATTTTTCCTTTCTGCTCAATCGAAAAGATAATGAGAAAAACAGAGATTGCAAAGTTTCCACAGTAAAGTTCTTAAATTGAAATCTTACTTCTCTCGTGGAAAAAGTATTCTATTTTAAATTCACGGCAAATAAAATGTACTTAACCTCTACTAAAAGGAATAATGTCAGCATAAATGTCAAAACTATTTTTATCTCTTCAATCCCCCCAGGATAATAAGTAAATGAAAGAGGAAACTATGCACAGTAAACTAGAATACCACAGGGATGTTAAGAACTATCTATGACATAAAATATATCTCACCAATAAATACATGTCCTAATTATCAACATCGCAGACGGCTTGATTAAAATCAGCCGAGCAAGACCTGGCCATGTCTTCATTTATATTAACTAAAGAATATGGCTAGATTTGCCCATTCATCCGATGTACCTTTCATCTTACCTTATCGAATATATATTTTCTTTCTTGGGAATGGCAACAACCATTAGGTTGGGGGAAATAACGATAGTCTTCATCATTATTTGTCAGTGTTTATAAAAGATTTTAAAATATGTTTGATTCACTTTTAATTTTCATCAGGAAACCAAATTGGTTTTTAAATATTTTTCATCATGCTTTTCTCACTGGTGACTCAACAGATTTCGATGGCGATTTTTTCTTGCTTAAATATTGATTTGAGAAATTGAATGTGAATACTCTTCTTGCTTCATTTTTGAAAAGGATTCTACAATTATATATTAAAAGCAGTCGCTACTGAACATTGTGTGCTTCGAACATCACGTCTATGATTCTGAAAATAAGCTTTACTATCAGTTCATTCTTGATTTTATGTTTTACTATAATAGTTTTCTGCCATTGTTATGTCATTCTATAATTGTCATGATATTAAATTGTTGCAAAAGTATTAAATTGTTGTAATGGTATTAAATTATTGCAATATTATTTCCTGATTGTAATATGCCATTATTGTAATTATATTCCCTGATTGTACAGATCTTAAAGTTCATGTAATGACATTACCTAATTCAAAAAATTCGTTGATTGTGAAAATATTTAATTATTGTAAGGATATTCCATGCAGTAAATTCTGTGATATTCCCTCGGTGTTATATGCCATAGTTGTAAATGATATTTTATTATTATGATAATAAATTATTATAATAATAATCCTTAATTTTAATATCACATTATTATAGTTGTATCAAACTGTTGTAATGATGATCCATAATTATAATGATGTTGAACAATTGTAATGATATTCCATAATTATAATTATTATAAATTATTCAATGAATTTTCATAATTATAGTGATATTGCAATTGTATTTTCATAAATTAAGGGCTATTAAGTTGTTGTAATGATTTTCCCTAATTGTAATATTCCATTATTGTAATATTTTCTAATTGTAATAATATTCTGAAATGTTAGTTCAAGATAAAATATGTAAAAAAAATTAATGATTCGGAGATAGTAAGTGAAATCCAAATTTATGAACACTTCAAAGCGAGGCACTCAAAAACACAGCCACAAATGGCAAGATCCTGATTTATAACACATGTCACGTTCAGCATCCCGATTTCATCTCCATTTCAGTTCATCGCTTACATTATAACAAGATACATTTGTCTAAAACTCAGAAAAAAGTTCTATCATAAATTTAAGAAGTTACTTTTCACAGTTCATCATAAATTTAGTGAATCATCATTATATTTAAAATTATGATTTATCACTTGTCATCAAACAAGTGTTTTACCAACATTTAGTTAACCGCTTGAGAATTCAACAGATTACTTATCATTTCGATGAATAATTTGATATATTAATTTAACAACCAAAAAGATACGCCGAATCAGATTAGGTTTTTCTTCAAAGATACAATCACCTTGAAGAATGTTGAATGTGTGGTTGATTAAGTCATGAAAAATTAGGTTCTTTGCTGATTAAAATGTTGGGAGAATTTTTTAACAACGAATGACAATGTGATAACGAGTGAGTTATTACTTTTAGTTTTGCTTTACAAAATTTCACTTTATGTTAATTCTACATAACAAGATTTATAAAAGGTCATAGTGAAAGGTAGCGCGTATTTTCTAGATACGCTGTTATGAAATATGAGTAATTGTAAGTGCTTAAATATTAGAATAGTACCGAAATAAGTCAAAAATAAAAACTGCTTTTTTTTTACTTGGAAAAAGGAAATATAATGACAACAACAATCTATAATGACCTAAGAGTTATTGAATTGATCTCGGAATAAAATTAAATTTCTGATATTGGCATTTGCTATAAGAAATAAGTGCAGAAAAGTAATAATTTAATAAAAAATGTAATTGAAAACTAAATGCAGAAGGATAAAAAAAATTTAATGCAGAGTTAAAGTAAGATTCTGTATGTTTAAAGAAATCCAGGCGACGACTTAAAGTCGATTAAGAGCAGTCGGAGGAATTTTTTGCTCGCTCTCATGATCAGAAAGATAAAACAAATACAAAAAAAAAAATACATAAGCCCATCTTTTCCGTATCCAATGCCTAATGGAAGGTACAGTTACAAGAGCGTATAAGTTACAAGATGATCTGAACTTTTTAAATATAAAAGATATTTTTTATTCTATTTGGTCATTTCTATCCACTTATTTCAACAAAAAAAAATCTGAGGAAAAATAACGAAGGAAAATAATGATAAAAGAAAATAAATGATGAAGGAAAATAAAATAATGATCAAAAAATAATGATAAAACTTCTCAAAAAGATACACAAAACCAAGAGAAGTATATAAATAAGCAATTTAAATGCAATAACTTTTGAGTTTTATTCGTATGTTCTATCATTGTGCATTTGGTTTTGTTTTTTGGATAAAAGTTTTATTTTGATATATCTTATTCTCGTATTCCGATTTATTTAAAATGATTTCGTCACATAGGTTACTTAAATGAAGCTTTACCTTTTCTAGTGAATCCACATCGAATCCGGCCTCTTCGAGTTCACTTTGTATTCTAACCCTGTCGGATAATTTAGCACATTGATCCAGAAGAGTGTTTAAAAATATGAGTGTCACCGTCTGAAAAAAGAAACATTATTTACCTCAAACCGGCAGAATTCATGGCCAGAACATTAAAAAAAAATTTCTGGATTCCGAATAAGTTCTTAAAATAAAAAAGAAAAGAAAAAAAGAACGAAAAAAACGAGCAATAGGAAAGAAAATAGTTCAATTTTTCGCTCATGAAGTTATCAGGTAATCCAAGACAATATTTTAAATGGGCTAAAATAAAAGTTGTTTTTTTTGTTTTAATGCTCCAATCTCACTTTTAAAGTTTTATAAGTCTTGTTTTTTTACCAAATACTTTCAAATTTTAGAATTTGCCATTTTAAATTACATAATTTAAAATTACGTAAAAAGTTATAACTCATACAATTAAAAAATAATTTTGATAATTTTTAAAATACTGAAAATAATGTATATTAATATTATTGTATAGAAAAGAAAATTCTAGTACCGTAAATTAGCGAACCTTTGTCAAGTTATTTGATTGAAATTCTCTATGATTACAGTCTAATAAAGCCCTCACTGCTATAAAAATGTGCATATTTACCCACAAAATACTTAAAGAAATCAAATAAACATTTTCAAAATCACTGCTATTAAAAATAACTAAGTTTCAAATTTTTTCTCCAAATATAATCAGTACAAATTTTGTTTGATGTAGCAGTGCTGTTTTTAAAAGATCTAATCACAATCTTTCTGATTATGCAGAGTGACTCAGTTCTATTTACGTAATAGTAGTAACAAATATTTTATTTTCAGAGTCTATTTTTATATCTTACAGAAATAGAGGAAAACTAATTTAAGTTAAACTAGTGATGTATAGTTATAAAAAATATTATTAGAAAATATGCTGTATTTAATTTATTTATTTTGAATTGAATATGCATTTTATAATTCCTGAAATAAATTAAATGTACATGAATGAAAAGATGCTTGGGGTTATTCTTGATTCATCGTATCTATCCCTTCCTGTTTTGAATAGCAGTTATGAAAGAGAAGAACGTGTCAAAAATAAGAAATCCAAAGAAAAAAAATATTATTCGTATTCACAATTACTTATTGAATTTCGCCGATTCTTTAGAATTGTGTAAATTTCATATTCACACCATCGCCGGGTTGGAAGGGCAATGATAGACGAATGAAAAATAAATAAAAATGAAGGGAAACCTCCTGCCCCGATTTCATAAATAGTCTTGAACAATGAGAATTTCCATTTAATAACGGAAAATATAGAAGGAAAACTTCCATTTCCCACTATGCAGCTTGCATATCAATCACCCGTAGAGAAATCAACCGACCGTAACCTGCGCCATCTATTGGGGATGAAGGGCATTGGGAAAGCAATTCCAACTTCAAAATGAGTTGGCGCTCTATCTAATGATAGATCTATCACTACACATTTACAGCAGACGAAACAGATGATATTTTATATGATCAAACTCAACGAAAATGCTTTCTGAAAGAATGGAATAATTTCAGAGAGGGGGTTTTGGGAAAGTAACTCTTTCTAATCTTTGACATAAAGAAAGCGATGAAGAAGATACAGCATTATTTATAAGGGCTGGATAAAAATAAAATGTTCTCTAAACAAGTTTTTGGTTATTCTATTCATTAAAACCATGACAAAAAATAGACAGTTGTATTTTGAAAAGACTTTCGTTTTAAATTCTTCAATTTATACTTTTTTGAGTAAAAAGGTTCCGTGTTAAACCTAACAATATTGTTGTTAGTTCTTATAACGAATATTAAAAATAAATCATTTGTATGATAGATTCATATCTACTGAAATAATTTCCTTACCTCTAAACCTGAAGAGTTGGCGAGATTGCTATTCAAGACAGAAACTAAAAATTTGAAACGCACTGATTCTCCAAACAAAATCCTGACTGTCGTCATAGCTTCAAGAACGCGATTACTGCCAATTTCTGGTGCTCGGCATACAGCGGTTAATATCTGGGAAAAAAGATAAATATAAATAAATTTAATAAACAAATAAAATTTTAAAACTCTACTTATCTAGGTTACTTTAAGCCAAACCGGTTCTAGATATTCGAGTAATGTGATAAATATTCAAATTAATGCATAATATATTGTTTCAAATTAATACAGATAATTAATTCAAATAATTACTATGAAATAATAATCTACAGAGATTGCTCAGAATCTATTCACATGAATATGCGGAATGCTACGTCTAACTTTAAGTGCAAACTCTATTGATAAACGTTATTTCTTCGGGGGAGCAAAAACTATGTTTGTACTTGTAATCATCACCAATAATTTTTGTCACTTTAGGGCAAATTTGGGTTTTAGACTTTAAATTATTTTAAAAAGTTCTTAAAAAATTTATTTCTAACAATGTAAATAGTTTTTACAAAAAATAACTGTTTACAATAATTAGTTACTATAATTTGAATGTAACTCCATTAAAAATTGCAGTTCCAAATTGCTTGTCGTATTTTTTTCTAAAAACGATATGCATTATTAGAACTTGAATGACAATCTTTAAAAAATTTTGCTATTAAAATAACAATTAAAAAATCAAATTTAAAGAGTAACTTAACTATATTAAAAAATTGAAATAACTGAATATTAGTAATCATCTGCCAAAAAATTATCATCACGTGATTGTAATGAGAATAAGGTTAAATAGAAGTTAATTTCCATGAGGAATTTTGAGGTCAATAGGAGAACAAAAAATTTTTTAATATGTTTTTAAAATCATTTTCAAGTTGAAAACAAAAGTATAATTTTTTAATTATAGTCATTATTTTTGTGCTGTCGATCAGTTAAAATCACGAAGAATAAATAAAATAAGAAAATGTCATTTGTATTTTTTTTCCAACATTTTAAGACGACATGCAAAGTTCTATTAATGCAGTAATAATGAAAATAGGAAATCAAAACAATAACTATATTATATTAATCATCAAAGAGACTTCGAGAAGGGGGTTTGAATTATTAGAAGTGCCAATAAGAAACATCTAATAAAAATAACCACTGGAAAAAAGTATGGTCAAAATTTACCCTGTTTCTGGCAGTATGAGAGCATCAGAAAGCACAGTGACAATCGTTGAAGTGCTTTGGTAATGATTTTGGTAAAATTATAACAAAATATTGTTTCATAATCTGAGTTAAAATTTAGTAATTTTATCCTAATACCTAAGAGCATGGCCTTAAAACGATTTTACAGTTCAGGTTTATATTTATTACAGAAGTGTTATTTAAAACCATAGTTTCGAAAACTAAACTTTCTGCTGTACCGTTGCCATATGAGCGAAAAATTACGAAATGAATAATTAAAATACTGTGTATTTTGATTTTATTACCAAAAATAGGGCTTTTTTACCAGGAATATGTACACCGAGCATCACGGTAATTTTACCAGAATTTATTTTCCCTGTGCATAAGATAATGGAATTAAAAATGGAACCAGTTATAACGGTAAAAATAATTAAGATAAAGTTCTTATTATATGGATAGTATAACCCTTTCAATGGAAATGCCAGCTTTAAAAACCCTTTTCAAAAAGGAAGTCAAAAATAGCATACAATACACACAAAGTCGCAAATTAGTGTTTAAGAGCTAAAACTCATATTGTAATATAACATAGCACTATTGTGGCAGGTGAGACTGAAAACAACAAACCTGTTTGATTGCCAGGACAAACAGCAAGGAACCAGGCCAGGAGACAGCAAGGATTGCCAGGAAACAGCAAGGATTGCCAGGACAAACAGCAACATCGACACCCGACACATCGAAACACATCCAAGTTTCAATGGGCAATGAAACTGATTTTATTTTTTTATTTTTTAATTTAACGAGCTTCAATCAAAACTATTCAACACATTCCGACTGCGCTTTTAATTTTTAATATTAATTTGTGATTCCCAACGTGCAAGTTTTTTTTTTTCATTTTTGACAAGGAATGGATAACGTATAGTAAGGGTGGTGAGTGTAGAGCAACCCTTTATGTTCTTTTAATGGACATAGCCATCAAAAACTACAAAGAATAGATTCCTTTTATCTCATGTCACTCATAAAATTGCATACATTCTAAAACATTTCGCAGCAGAAACCGATTTGGTATCTCCCATACGTAAAATTCAGTTTGTTTAATTAAACAAAATAGATTATCGGAAACTTCAATTGAAACAAAAGATTCATCATACATTATAACTAAAACTTACTTCAAGAGCGACAATCCTCGATTTTACATGAGAACTTGTTATGCAGGATGAAACAGTTGCGAGACCTGTTTTGTGGTCAGCAATTTTTATAACTGCCTCCTAAATAATAATAAAATGAAAATAATTTTAGTTGAAAAAAATTTATAAAAGAAACCAAAATAAATAGTTTTAAAAAAGTAATACATACAGAACTCTTGGAACAGGCTTTTAAGCACAGCAAACAATAAAATTCATCAATCTGAAAAAGGATAGAAGAAAAATTATTTTTCCATCGTAATTTTTGCCAGCACTAAGAAAAAATCTTTAATTTTTCTTTATATGAACTTAAAAGAGAAGATGTAAGTTTAAAACTATAATATAAAAAAATGCGTAATATTCGTCTTAAACGATGAATCATCATTTTTCTTTCTTCTTTTTAAAATTCTGATGTGTACTAAAAATTCAAGCTATTAAAAAAAGCATTTGAAATGAATTGCTCTTAAAAAATGTTCATCACAAATTGTCTCGATATGCGTAATTTTATTACAGAATAACAAAAATCCAACCAAAAAATACTCATTTTTAGTTTTATTTTTAAGTTTTTAGTTTCTACTTTGCAAATTTTAAAAATATTATGAGATACATTGACAATTGTGGCACTACAAAGCGTGACAAGTCATATAAATTTTGAAATAAAATATCAATACATTTCAATTAGAAAATGCAAAAATACGATTCATTTTTAGTTAAATAACTAAAAAAAGCCTTAAGTCTTACATACTATTCATCAATTGAATAATTTTGCAGTAGGTAATTTATAACAAGCAATAGCATTTTATATGAACCGTTACGGTTAGTGTTTTATCAAACTGAAGCATCTAAAAAAAATTTAACAAAAATGTCTGCAGATATACGAAAGTCACCATAATTTTTGCCTTGTTTATGGGGCTAAACAACCAAAAATTCACAAATGTGGGTAAAACGCAGCTGCAGCTTTTAACACAAAACGATGGGTGAATTTGCTATTTGGAGCCTTGGTAGGGTTTTGGGAAAGTAACTCTTTCTAATCTTTGACATAAAGAAAGCGATGAAGAAGATACAGCATTATTTATAAGGGCTGGATAAAAATAAAATGTTCTCTAAACAAGTTTTTGGTTATTCTATTCATTAAAACCATGACAAAAAATAGACAGTTGTATTTTGAAAAGACTTTCGTTTTAAATTCTTCAATTTATACTTTTTTGAGTAAAAAGGTTCCGTGTTAAACCTAACAATATTGTTGTTAGTTCTTATAACGNTTAAGTTATATTTGAATTTCATTATTAACGCTATGACCGATAAATAAAGCTATACCTCTGTTGTTTATAATGGATTAAATAAGTAATTATTAAATAAGCAAACCTATGTTTATTCCAAATGAATGAAATATTAATTTAAAGCATAAATTTTGACATAAGGGGATTTAAATTTAAATATCTATACCACTTCATTGTTTGCTTTTCTTTTATTTACAGGTTTAAGATCGCAAACTTTTATTGACACTGGTCATTTATTTTATTTTATTATGCTTATATAATATTTGCATACGAATTATCATTTGAATCCTCCATGAAAAAATTATAATTTCTATTTTCATCTATAATCATTTTGCGAAACTTCATTCATATTTTTTACATCATGAACAGAAAGTTCCACAAAACTTGTCATAATGTCTATTTTACTTCGTTTTCATTTAATCTTATAATAATAAAATGTTTGTACCATGTTCAAAAATTAAAAGAAAGTTCTTTAATTATTCCAATTTTATTCCATCATTTTAATTATATTAAAACAATGACAACAGAGCTAATTTATGAAATCCTTTTCTTTCATTATTTATTCAATTGAAATTTTAATGCATGCAAAAATGCAACATTACACTGTACCCATTTAAAAATAAATGATTTTGATATATTTATAAATATATTAAGAAATATGCTTATTTTATTCTAAACTTTTGTATCAATATAACTAAAAAACAAGGAAAAAGAATTCTCAAATTGATCAAACGTTGCAGCTCCTCTCACAGTACTGAGTAAATGGGGTTTTACCATATCGAAGCAGTTAACTTTGTTAAAACCTGAAAAATGAAAATAGATTACGGCAGACGACATTTTTTTATCGTTTGGCGTTCAGCAAATGCGCTTAATTATCTTTTTCTAATGAAACTGTTCCCTAATGACTTTTCAAATAATTATCATTAATGGTAAAAAAAAATCAAACAATAATTTTTCCAGTCATTTAATATGCCTCCACAGAGATTTATTGATATTATCTAGAATGAATTACTTTAAAAAGCCATTCTTTAAACAATGGAGTCAGAAAAACGGGCACATTGTTTTTGTTAAAATATCGTTGTCAGTTACGAAACAAATACGAACTCGTTCTTATTTATTTAATAAATTTATAACAAAAAATGTGTCTAAGAATTAAGAAATAAATGTTGAGCTTTATTTTATTTTTATACTAAAACGTTTAAAATTGTCTATTTACATAGTAATCTGTTTTACTGTATTAGCAATTTTTTTACAAAATTAGCTTGCGAAAAAGTATTTAGCCTTTTTTAAAATGACAGCGTTTGAAGGACAAATTCACAATACATTGTGGAAAGTCGGAATAAAATTCGACCAAGTTCGAATTCTTGCAAGTTATTACATTTTGCAAAACGGAAACTACTCGATACAGACAATTGTTAAGCTATGTACAGTTCTTTTATAATTTTAGCAAGTTTTTGATTAAATATCACTCATATTATTTTATTAAATATTATGAATTTTTAAATAATAACATATTTTTTATTTCTTGTTTGAATATGATTAGTTTTTGATTACAATGTTTTAATCATTATTAGACTAAATATTATTAGTTTTTTGAATAATAATGCATTTATCACTTTTTAAATATTTCAAAATTTGATTAATAATACAATGATAATTGCTTGATTAAATATTATCAGTTTTTATTTAATAATAAATTAATCATTATTCAATTAAATATTATTAGTTCCTGATTAATAATGCTTTTATGATAATTTGATCAAATATAATCAATTTCTGATAAATAAAACATTTATTATTTTTAGATTATATATTATTTTTTCAATATATTACAGTTTTAATTAGTTATTATTATTTTTTGATTGAACATCATCATTGATCCTTCTATAAGTAAATCATTTTTTGTTTAGTTATCATTTTTAATGTTAAATTAAATATTATTATTTTTTGTATGAAACGTTATTATTTATTATTATTTAATTAAATATCATCATCTATCCATAATTTATTAAACATTATCAGCTTTTGATCAAACATTATCATTTCATAGGTGGTGACTTACATTTTTAACGAATATATTCAAACCAAATGCACTAGGTTTTTTTTCTGACCCACCTCCTAAGGCCGATATAGGATCGAAAATTTTACCTAAATTTCAGCTTGTGGGCTAAATGAGCTCCCTCCCCCCTACTAGTCATTTGTACACTGAGAAAAAAAGTATTGTCAATACCAATATATATTAAAATTATTCATGGTTAAATATTCATGATTATTCGTGATTAAAAAATTAATCATGTTTCTGGCTCTATGGGAACACCAAAAATCATGGTAATTTTTACCGAAGTACTTTGGTAATAATTAATAAAAAATGTTAAAATAATAATAAAATATTGTTCTTAAATGTGTGTTAAAAACATTAAAAACCATTTATTCGATTAAATTTAATTTTCAGTTTTGTATTTTTTATTAAATGTGAGGTAATGAGAAGTATAATTTTGAAAACCAGAAGTTCCGGTAAATCGTCACCATGAGAACTGAAACGCTACCCTATGAATGATTGAGTATTACCAGTTTGTTTTATTACCAGAATTATGGGGTTTTTTTTAAACCAGAAATGTCTTTACCGTACAATACGGTAGTTTTACTAGAAATTTTTTTCTCCGTCGAAGACTGGTGTAAACTAATTTTGCATTTATATCGCCTTTTTTTTAATTATTTTTCTCACAACGGAATTACAAAATTATACATAAAAAAAAAACTTCTTTAATGAGAAAATTTTATAAATAAAAAACTTCCAAACGATAATTTTGTTCTTTTTTAAATTATAAAATATTACAATTTTAAGAACAAATCTGAACATTGAATATATTCTTTTACATACTTTTTAACAGTTTGACCCTTAGTCTAATCAACATTAATTAATTTGGCCATTGTAAGCAATTAAGTTTGATAGTCTTGTATGATACAACGCTGGTTTGCACATCTGTTCAAAAACTTTTCAGTCTAATAATCTTTATGCTCGAATAAAAAAGTTTATAATAAAATCGTAAAATAACGAAAAGAAACATTTGCAACAGCTGCCGTCCGGTATATAATTTATTTTACTACCTAGAAGTCACGCCATTAATTTGCTTGTGCCTAGTAAATAGCTAAGAAACAACTGTGATGCCAATGATCATAAAATAACTTATTTCACCATTCATATTCTCCTTTCTCCTTTTAAAATGCAATGAATAGGATATTACAGATATATAAATAGGTCGTAATGTTTTTAAGAAATCAAGGTTAAAAACGGACGAACAGAATAAGGATATATAGAGCTGAACATTACATTCCGTCGGAATATTAAATAACTTAAGCCTAATACGAACTCAACCCACGGAATCGCCATTCGTATAACAAACTCGGGAAAGAAAAATCTCTTAAAGATTCAGTCCACACATCGACTAGATTTAATTTTGAACTCAGTTAACCCGATTAAATTACTAAATTCAGGGTAAATTTCCTTTTCCCGCGTTTTCTATTTACTGCCATTTTTATAGTGTTGATGTTTTCTCTCGCTCTTTACCGTCAAGGTTAAGAGTGTATTTAATCCCTGACCAAATATAAAGTAGCTTCTTTTCAAGTTATTTGGCGACCTGATGGGTTTTGGCTGATTTTTTTTCCCCTACCTTTTTTATTAATGCCTTCGCACTTCCGTGGTAGTTTGCTTGGAAAAACTGACTGCCCCTGCTGAGGGATTAAATTTCGGCTCAGTGTTTGATCTTTCTGGGAGGGAATCTTTTTCTTGATGTGATGTTATAAAAAGCGATAAAGCGTGAACATTTTAAGAGGTGCTTGGTCTTTATTTTTCAGATGGGGGATTTATTTTATTATAATTTGTTTCATCTGAGTAACGCTGCGAAGAGTTAAAACTATTAAACAGCGCAGTGAAAAACAAACA